GGGTAAGGTATGAAGTCGAAATGGATTCGTTAGTTCAGTGATGCTTTGAATGTTGGTTGTGTTTTTCAGATACATTGAAAATATATGTTGGTCTCGATGCCATGCCTTAAGAACAAAGTAAATATCACATGCATGCATGCATATATACATGCATGTGTTACTGTTCCACTCACCCCATCTAACACCTGGGACTGGTTCGCTTCCACATCAGAAATCATCCTCTCCAATGCCTGCCAGCACATGGCGAGACCCCTGCCCCCAGGAAATAGAGAGTATAAGGTATATATACATGAGGTCAAAAGGAAACACACCAAATGTTGTGATTGAACAGAATCTTTGGTCACAAGCAGATCGACTAGAGCATGTTTAACTTGTCAATGCTAAATCAAAATAAAAGACCAATAACATACAATCATCAAACCATATTATGATCTTGTCCCCATTTAAATATGCTACATCTTGATCAAGCAATACCCCTCTCATATAGTTCGATATTCAAGGGCCATAGTTAATCACCACCACCCAAAAAAAATGACCTGACCGAGGTATGTTGACTGTAGTTGGCTCTGGCCTCCAGCTCTGCTAAGCTTTCCGGAAGCTTGGTCGAGGAATCGCCCAGGATGGTGCTAAGACCCTCAAGCATATCACTGGTGCTCCATTGCTGGGACAACAAAGTTTCTGATGTCCCTGCCCTCATGAAAGCCATGGTTCGACTTTTGTAGATTGGGAATATGTCCACAAGCTTCCCTTCAAGCCAAATGCTAGATTGATACAACATGTTTTTTCTTTTTGTGGTCTAACTGTATCACAATTGTGACATCATTCCATCACTAAAAAGGTGCATGTATCAGTTGTGTTCCTTTTCTGCTACTTGCACATCGAAGCTACAATCTAATTAGTGGCATTCATCCACAGTATTTCTGATTTGTTCAGACTAAGCCATTCAAAAATGGGGTGAAACCAATCCAAACCCATCAGGAGCCAACATAAGTCAGTAAAAAATCATGTTAAAATCATCGCTAAAAAAGCAGGTTATTCGGAAAATACCCATAATATTTTACGGGTAAATTACGGAAAATTATGGGTATATTACGGAAAATTACGGGTGGTAAAATTACGGGTAAATTACGCGAAAATAACCTGCTTTTTTTTCAGTAAAACCTGATATTTCCTCACAATAGCTGGTTTTTTTTGAATAACCTGGTAATTTCATAAAAAGCTCTTCAGAGACCTTTGGGTGGCTATTGAATCCTAAGTGGGCCGAAGACGGTTTCAAACAAACCCCACAGAATGGCAAATGATCTAAATTTTTTTGGGCAAAACATCCCGGAAAGAGTCAGGAATCCTCAAGGATGTCCCTCCTCGAAGATAACGGCAAACAGCTGGCATATCAGCCTCTGTCCAAACATCGTCCATGTCGAGACTTGTAAACGTCTCTAGAGCTGGGGGAATGGGGTCTGGCAAGCTTGGCATGCCAGACTTCTCAGAAACCAATTGGTTCCACAAATCACTCATTTTTCGCCCAAAAGCTGGTGGATAGTTCCTAAGTTCCAAGAGCTGACTGTTTGATGCCATATACCACTTTGACAATTATATTGTATAATATGAATTACAACTCTTTCAGGTCAACAATGCCCCCAACATTACAATAAGATTCAACCATAACGCAAATGGTTCGCAGAATCAAGGTTCACAAACCAAATTGACCATGGCCAACCAAGGATATAATCGCCATATGTAAAGAACTTATGGCTTATATTACAATCACTCAGATGGTGTTTCGATCAACTAGGAGCCCCACTCGCTGGAACGCAACTTCGACGTTCCTTTGTAACGTCTCTTGCCCGACTTGTCGAAGTATTTCTGGACTAGTTGAGGTGGTGCTTGGCCACGTGAAGCAAGCTCCCTTTTGCGCTTGGCCCACCCTATCAATCGCCCAAGGTTTAGGCGACCAATGTGACGGCTATTTGCCCAAGCCACATGTCGCTTTGGTGTAGGTCCACCATAGTGCAGCATATACCATGTTGTACGGTGTACCTAAGTTCCTTCTTGCCATATGAAGGTTACCACTACCAACAAAGTTTTGACCTGTGGTCCCAAATAAGAGCACGTATAAAACATTCATCCATCCACCCTAAGATCCACACAGTCTTGATGGGAATTACTTTGTGGGGTCATCGTACAAACAGGTATAGCGTGTGTGATATCATGATTCTTATATATTCCGTTTTTGGCGGCAATTGGTGTATAATTGCTGAAAGAATCCACCACCAGCGACACTGGAAATTGTGGGTCCCCCTTCGAAAATCCTTGAGGACCAACAAGCTTGACCTTATCATACAATTTCCAGATGCAACCTGGCAGCTCGAGGCGGAGGGTTTAACACTATATGGGTACGGTATATACATTAGAAGGTTCAGCCTAGACACCGCACCGTTCCCACCATGACGAAGAAGCATCATCACGAAATCTCGCCATCTTGGGTAATGTTCAAAGAACGAACCAAATGGTTGTTCCAAGATTATTGTTCCATTCAAGCACACTACGATCATCATCAAGAGTATCATCCTTGGGACTGGCAGGACATTGGTCTAACACATGTCTTATGAATGGTGAATTTACTTACTTGCAGGATCGTCAAAAGAAAACAGGTTTGGCTTTGTTTAGTTGGGTGAAACTTTCCCTAAATTTAAGGGTCATTTTTGTATATACTGAAGTATATTGGACAAGAAACATAAAATGCTGCGATTATGTTTTCTTTCAGACAAGGTTCCGACTTGCCATGCAATTTGATGTCAACACACTTTGGTAATCTAAGTTGCCAATAGAACTGCATGCACTGCGACCACTTGTGCCAGAATTAATGGATGTCCATGATGCACACTTCAGACCAAAGTGGCATGCCCACCCCTTCTCATGGTCACCACGAAGTACGGTCTGAAGAGCTGTCCTTATATGTGTTTTTCAAGATGATGATGGAAACTATAATATCTTGTATTTTTTTAACCTTGGGGGACGTTTGGGGGAACAGCCGCCAACATGGGCTGAACTCAAACGAGCATTATAATATAAGAAAAAAAACAGTCCAAGATTCGCCATTCCACAAGGGGATGTTATATCCATAGGGTTGGTCCCGGGCACTCCATTTTTGTCACTCATGTAAACGATATCCAACCTTGCTGTTGTTCTGCCTCCATAATATTTCATTTGCTCAGTTGCCTGAGCCTCTCCAGCGAAAAACTCCACCCACTGAAATGGTTTCGGTGTGTCCTGGGACAAAGTCAAAGTATAGGGAATGATAAAGATATATTATAAATCTTTAAGAAACCATTGCTATATAAGGAAAACACTCCAATTGTGTGTATAACGGAAGGACATTTAAATATTATTGTTTTATTTAAACCATGATCGTCAGGAGAGAAGTCAAATTCTGTTGGACTTACATTGACCAACACACTGCCGTCCTGAAAGCCCGGTGGCATCTGGGTCCAAAAGACCATGAGCGTTGCGAATAGCAGCACCTAAGGCAGTAACCCCTGCTTGGGTGTGAGATGCTCAAAGATCTTACAATGTAGTCCCATGAACTTGTTTTATTCTTCAGAAAAAAAACGATATATGAAATTTCGGGTATTCAGCAAAATGTTGGATAGTATGGTGCATCATCCTGATCTAGCATGAAGCATGCATGCTTCTAAGCGCAATCATGGCACCTTCGGGGCCCCCATAGCCTTTAAGCGGGCCATGAGGCTATCGACGAACTTGGGCGACCACATGGTGCTAAATCCCACAACGAGGGCTGAAGTCAGTGCCACCCCAACCCCAGAAGAAAACATAACAATCAAGCTCGCTAAAGCTGTAATCCCTATGGTGGATATTTTAACTGGAATCATGCTTTAACTTTATACCCTTGAAAATATGTTCTTTCCAAAATTGATTGCTGTTGATGCTGTCCAGTTTTTTTGTTCCCTGAAAAATGCAGAAGTCATGCATCAGCTGATGCCACAATGACACTACATCCCCACCCGTTCGCATGGCACCTTTTGTACCATCAAGTCATTTGACAGTTTGACAAAAACATGCACATGTAGCATCATTTTTGGTAATCTGAATTTGCTCAAATGACAATGCTCCCATTGAAGTCTAAACATGCCAAGAACACCTTTGAAATTTTCAAGGCCCCGTTTGATGGCCCATTTGTTCTTGACCTTGCCAGCCTGAAAATGCCGAGGCATTGACCTGGGCAATCGCGAAGTTGATATATCTTGGACTTTCTGAATCTTTGGATGGAAAGTGACTTGGGAGGAAACATGTTAAGGATTTAATTCACAGGGAACACCAACCCCAACTAGAAACAACAGATAAATTTTATCCCAATCGGAATTGATATGGGTGTGTTTAACCATGAGCAAATAGTTCATTGAACCGCACCAATATAGATTGGACATGTTCAGGATATTGGGGTATAAAGTATTTAGATCGATAGATGTAAACAGATCCTGGGGAGATTGTACGGGTTTGGGGACACTAAGTTGTTGCAACAAACGAGCAGCAAGCAGACCCTCGGAAGTTTGGTATGTATGATGAAGGATTGGCACCTTATATTTAATTCCAGTGTTGCTCCTACTTTTTTTCTGATTTCAATTCGAAACATCAATGCGACACACAGGTTGCATATGGTGCCATTTTTTTTTCTTCATCAGCCCGGCTGCGCTCACATGCATGAGGCTATCCCCATGCGCTTCATCCCAAACACTAAGTAGTCTTGTCACTTTAAGACCGTTCAAAGATTGATGGGAAGTATACCCACTAATATTCCCATGGGAAAACCTGACACCTTCGCTACCTAGGCATGACGTGTCATGGGCATGGGCAGAAATCACCAAGGCTCCAAGCCACACATAGTCAGCACTATATAGAAGAACTAGCAACGCAGATGGTCTTACACTATACCCAACAAAATATATAACAGGTAACCTCTACTAATCAAGTCTCGGATATGACCAGTTGGATGATCAGTGGTAACTTTATGATTTTCATTGTTTTCTTTTATCACAGGCCCACGCATCACGACAGCCCAGGTAAATGGCCAACAGCGATTGGATTTTAAAGCGAAGCTGGTCCGCACACATGACTTGGACCTTCCCCGGAATGAACTGAAACAAATGAGCATGCATAGCAAACTCATATTCTCAAATGAATATACAGAAATACACAGAAACTGAAATTAACATATATGAAACAATATTATGCTATATACATATATGTTTTAGTTTACATTGATTTGCATTACATTTGGTCCCACAAGCACGTGTGAATTGGACAGTGCTTATAGATTGTGCGGGTCTATGCTCCAGCTGCTGGCATGGTCTTTGCCAGCTCATCCAAAGCTGCCATGCCATTGAACTTGATACGTCCAAACTCATTTCCAAAAAGCGAAGTCGGACTCTTGTCCGTCATATCGACATCAGCATCCTGCGTATCCACCCATTCAGCCTCGGCCGTGGTGAGCAGGTATAATTTGTTTTGCATGTTTCATAAACACGTTCCTAGAAAATGGAAACCAAAAAAAGGAAGTTGTATAAACAATACGACATCTATATAATGCTATACAATAAAAAAACATACCACATAGATTCGCAATAGGGTGAAAAATAGGTTTTCATACGGTCACCTGAAGAATTTATACATCACACGCTGCTTGCGCAATGCATATGTGACTGACAAATCATTGGTTGAAACATGTTCACCGTAAGTTGATTGCTATAATTCAACATGTTTTCAATTACATGGTAGCAACCACTTATCCAACCCTTACCTGCAATTCAGTAAAGAAACCAACAGACCAGCCGAGACATAGGCAACACACATCAAATGATTGTACGATGCGATCTTCGGGTGCTTGTATGCAAAGTATGCAATCTGTGGCTCTGCTGGGTCACCCTTGAACTTGACACCACAAGCCTTTCGACCCCAATAGACCGACAGGGAGCACCACTTGTACCCTGAGAGGCCCCCATTGGTGGTCAAGTGGGTCTGTAAGTCCTGGTAGGTAAGGCAATCCACAGGCTTCATGTGTTCGACGAACAGGCCTTGCATGATCTTATCCTCCAAGGTCTCCTCGGTCAGGATGAGGGGGGCTCGGCGTTGGCGGCGTTTTTTCTCCTTCTTCACGGCTGGTGACTGCAAGATTGAGGCCTTGACTTTGGGGGACTTGACAACTTTTTTGCCATTCCCACGACCCCGCCCCTTGCCCTTGCCCTTGCCCTTTGCCTCACTGCCTGCACTTGGCGCGGACTCTTCTGGGACCTCTGACTGAACAACTGGCTCAGCAGCCTTGCCCTTGCGAGCTTTGCGGACAGGTTTGGGGAGCATTTCGTTTTCAAGTCTTTTCAGGTGCTCTCGCCTGTCAGGCTGGGGACTGCACTCTTGCTCATCGCCTGACTGATCAAAAAGCTTTCTCTTGGGGGTTGTAACCTCATCGATCTCATCCACGGGTGTCTTGACTTCTTCCATGTCGCTCTGCTCTCCCTCGCCTACCTTTGTCTCGTCTACCTCTGCTTCATCATCATTACCATTCTTCTCTGTCTTGCCTTTCTTGGAACGGGCCTTTGCCTTCGCCTTGGCCTTTGTCTTGGTCTTTACCTCACCCTTTGCCTCAGCATCGCTACCTGCCTTGCTTGCCTTCTCTGCTTTGACCTTTGCTTTTGGCTTTGCAGCCGCCTTTCCCCTTCCTCTTCCCCTTCCCCTGCCTTTTCCCTTACCCTGGTTCTGCTCTGACCCTTCCACCTGCTCTTCCCCTTCCTCACCTTCTAGCTCTCCATCCTTTGCCTTGCTTTTCAACTCAAGTTGCTCCCGGCGAGTCAACACCTTCAGGGGCAAGGCCAAGCAAATATCATGGTTTTGCAAGAAGTTATATTTTGCAAGAAGTTATAACTATATATATATGTTAGGAAACAACAAATTTACTAGATGAAACCTTTGTGGAAATATCAGTTTGAAATATCAATGTAAATTTAAACTAAAAAACATGTCCTATATATACAATGTTTCCAAACCCGGAATGTAAAAACAAGTGCCTGGGGAGGATCTTCTTTGTGAGGGCTATCCGGCTGCGTCAGAAAGTCAAGGGTGTCTGTTGGGGCATCTTGGGAATCTTGTTCGGGCGGCTCCAAGTCCATGATTGATCCCTCTACCAGCGGCTGGGTGTCGTGAGTGTCAGCAACAGACCCAGTCCTCGTGGCTGTGGGCTTCGCACCTGGAGGGGGCACCGCGGATGATGTGGACACTTGTTAGAAAATATATGTGAACATTCTATAAGCAAAAACATGTAAATTGTATTGCTGCAAATGATGCAAATCAAGTCTTGCACCTACATGCGTGTATATGTTGAAACAAAATCTCAAAAATGCAAACAACCCCAACATACCCCAACACAACCCCAACACAACAAGTCATTTGCCACATTATAATTATAGCGACATATATTTCAACTGCAAACGTTTGTGCAGGCTTTGCTTTCCACTTGTAGCGTACTTCAACGGGCCCAGCCTTGGCCCAGATAAAACTGTGGTTGCTGCGCATCCCCATATCGCCTGAGATTGGTTCATGCCCATGAGAGTGATCTCGTTGGGTCGGATTCTGTGGACTGGGGAAAGGTTGACCTAAGGTTGACCCCCAAAAAAAACGCAGTACAAGTGATAATCAGATATCGGGAACATTAGTTGACTATTAAAGGACAATGTTTCTGGTCATGTAGTCATTTTTCCATATATAGCCAATGTTGAATGCATGGCATGGATCGATATCAAAAAATACATAGAGATCAACTACAAAGATAACCCAATATTTACGAATCTGATATGTTGTTAATATCTGATCAAAGCATTCAATATAAGGTATATATCTCTCACCTGGGGTCGCCTGCAAACCCCATCTCAGGAAACTACTGGATCTTCTTCTTCTTCTCCGCGATGAGAAACTTCAGCTGGCTGAGTCGCTTGCAGATGCCTGGGCTGGATCGGGCTAGGTTAGCAACAATAGCACTTGGAGAATCCCAAAACATTATATAATGTAGTTAGGCAGAAATTGTAGATTGTTTTCCATCATTGATTGAATCAAAACACGTGTTCAAAGTATATATATAATTGACCTAGATACACTCCTGTTGCTTGCACATCCCACAATGCTTGATGGTCCCCTCGGAATCCTTGTTCTCAGAAGGCTTCGCTCCCGAAGTCTGTGGGGCTGATTGTTCTGCATCCATCTCATTCAACCAACGCTTGTAAGCATCCATATCTTGAAGGATTTCAGGATCATCTGGTTCCGATTCATTGTCCACAAAGGAGAATTGTTTGGATAGGGACTTTGCTGAGACCGTAGACATGTATGCATCGATGGCATCCTAGAAAGGGAGGATGAAGGATGACAACATATATAATGACAAAACTCCTACAAGATCTTTGTTGGTTCAAATTTCATGGGACTTAACTTATGTATGTTG